ATTCTCCTCTCGGGATCTTGGGCACGCACGCACACGCGCCCGGCGTGAGTTTTAAGCCACCGGGTCCGGGACACGAACCGCGGTCAACTACATGGGAGTCCAGCAACATAACCATTACGCTAACTACTGGTCCTGATGCCCTATTTTGTACTGACTTCCATTTTAGTCTTAGCTGCAGAATCAGCCAAGTTCCTTAAGGACAGGGAATCTGGTATCCTTTATCTTGTCTTCCCTCAGTGCATAGCACGGTACTTCTCAGGGTTAATGTCAACCATCAAGGAACATTCACTGATGATATATATATATATATATATATATACACACACACACACACACACACACACATATATATATATAAATATAAAATTATAAATCATATATATGATTATAAATTGAAGAATTGAATTTAATAACACAATAATGGAATGATTCAGATGTTTATCTGTAGAAGACTAATTAAACTATGGGAAAAAGTCATACTATGGAGTACAATGCAGCTATATAAAAGAGTAAGGACTATTTCTAATTACTGATATATGGTGGTCTCTAGGATATATTTTTTTCAAATGGCACATATAATATGCTACCTTTTGTATAAAATGGAGAGGAAAAAGTATATACACATCTTTGCATACATTTACAAAGAAGAAAAACCTGGTAGGATGAACCAGATATTGATAAAGTGGGGACCTGGGGGTTAAAAGGGTGTGGGGTGAAAGGAACAGGGATGAAGCATAAGGAAAACTTTCCTAAGTATACTTTTTAAAATTTTTTTTACATTTTCCCCGCAAACATTTACTTTACATATCAAAAAATTTTTACTCATACTCTATAGTTCTTGACAGTTAATAAACAACTTTCAAAATTTCAAAAAACTGAACTTTAAGGATAATATTCAAAATAATTGTTATAACTTTGTGACTCTATAACAACAGAGACAGTATAGTTTTAAATATTTTTGAGAAAATATTTACATGTCAACTACTCAAACTGTTGAAAAGCAAACACCCAGCACACAATTCACACATAAACCTTCTCTATTCAGCCCTGCCTACCAAGAATTCTGTGATGTGCCATCCGCTAGCAAAGATCAGTCTCTTTTCCTTCCTTCAAAGTCCTTCTCAAGATAATCCTCTGGTTCTGGCTGCTCTTTTGCAATCTCTACTGATTACAAAGCGGGGCTGGAAAAGTCCAGGTTATATTATGGTACAAATTCTTTCATTTCATATATCTTCTCTAATCCTCTCCTCCAGGCAGAACTGCTTATGGTGCCAGGTCATCTTTCCAAGAGCTTCTGTTGATTTACTTGAGATCTACCTTAGTTCCATAGTTGTCTGGTTTAATTTTCATTTATGACATTCTAGTCAAAGGCCTGTCCAATAATGAGTATTTCCAATTTTTGATTCAAGGCAACGGGTTATTATTGAACTTATGCAAATAACCATTCTGCCACAAATAAGAATACTCCCAAGTATTTTCCAATTACAGAGGGGTCAGACAGGGAGAAAAGTTTATGTTTCCATTTAAAGAAACAAAGAAAAGAAGACACTTTCATGGCTCCTGAGAATTAGTGATTTCAGGGAAAAAAGAGAATGAAGATTTTCTACTGATTATTTAGCCTCCAGCCCACAAACTTGAGTGGGATCAAAATGGAACAGCAAAGAGTTTCCAGATCACCTCTTTCTGCATGCTCCTAAACACTCAGATTAAGCTTCAAATTTGGGATGAAACACACCATCTATCAGATGACAGAAATCACCGCAGGGTCATAAGAAATATGGGAAAGTGAGAAATATGTCTCCTCCAAGGGAAAAGTATAACTCCTCTTCATCCACAGACAGTTCAATGGAAATCATGGAAATGTCTGATAAAGAATTTAGAATGTTCATAATACAGAGATGGAAGAGAAGAAAGACAATGAACGGCAGAAGAGAAAGAAGAAAGGAGCTGATGAGTTCCAGGAGGTAAGGAAATTCTTGCAAGATCTAAAAGAGGAATTACACATCTTAAAAAAGAATCAAACGGACCTCTTAGAGATGAAGGCTATAATACGGGAAGTCAAAAATCTCCCTTGAAAGTATTAAGAGCAGACTAGATCATACAGAAAATAGGATCTCAGATGTAGAAGAGAAAATTGTCTAGAAAAATCCACCACAAAGACTGAGAAAATTGCCTCCTAAAAATGAGAATAATATACAAGAAATACTAGATACCATCAAATATCCAAACATCCAGACAATTGTGTCCCAGAAGGCAAAGAGACTAATAAGGGCATTGATAATCTATTCCATGAAATCCTGCAAGAAAACTTTCCAAACCTAGAGAGGTATTCAAAGATCCAGTCCCAAGAAGTACAAAGGACCCCAAATACAATCAACCCAAGAAGATCATCTCCAAGACACATTATAGCCAGACTGACCAAAACAACAGACAAAGATAAGATACTAAGATTGGCAAGAGAAAAATAGCAAGTTACCTGCAGAAGATATCCGCTCAGGCTAACAGTGCACCTCTTATCGGTAACAATGCGAATGAGGAAAGAATGGGAAAATATATTCAAAGTGTTAAGGGAAAAGCAATTTCAACCAAAAATACCCAGCAAGATTATCCTTCATATGGGAAGAAAAGACAAGAACATTCTCAGGTAAACAAAACCTGAAAGAATTTACCAGCACCAGATCAGATCTCCAAGAAGTTCTCAAGGGAGTGCTATATCAGGAAAATTAAATTCAGACACATAGATATAAGAATTCCAAAACTGAATTGTGTTCGCAGCCGTAACTCTCCACCGCCAGCACCGCCTCTAGCTCGCTGAGCTTCAGCCAAAGAAGGGGGTAAGTGAGGAGGTCTCTTTACCCTGGCTCCTACAAAGCAGACAGCCCATAAATCCACCGGAGGTAAAGCACCCAGGAAGCAACTGGCTACAAAAGCCGCTCTCAAGAGTGCGCCCTCTACTGGAGGGGTGAAGAAACCTCATGGATACAGGCCGGGTACTGCGGCACTCCGTGAAATTAGACGTTATCAGGAGGCCACTGAACTTCTGATTCGCAAACTTCCTTTCCAGCATCCTGTGCGAGAAATTGCTCAGGATTTCAAAGCACGTCAGCGCTTTCAGAGCGCTATTGGTGTTTTGCAGGAGGCAAGTGTGGACTACTTGGCTGGCCTTTTTGAAGATACCAACCTGTGTGCTATCCGTGCCAAACGTGTAACAGTTACGCCAGAAGACATCCAGTTAGCACGCTGCATGCGTGGAGAACGTGCTTAAAGATCCACTATGATGGGAAATATTTCATTCTCAAAAAAAAATTTTTTTTTCTCTTCTGTTATTCGTAGTTCTGAACGTTAGATATTTTCCCCCCCATGGGATCAAAAGGTACTTAAATAATGATTGTGAGTGGAAAATAGGGGACAGAAATCGGATATTGACAGTTTTTCCATTTTCATTTGTGTGTGGATTTTTAATATAAATGCGAGGATGTAAAACATTAATGCAAGTCAAAATGTTTTGGTGAACAAGTTTCAGCAGTTCAACTTTATAACAATGATAAACAAACCTGTTAGATTTTTCTGGACAATGCCAGCATTTGGATTTTTTTTACAAGTAAATTTCTTATTGACAGCAACTAAATGATGTTTGTAGCATTTTTATCATCCAGTAGATTCCATCCATTCACTAACTGAGTTGTCCTACATGCAAATACATGTTTTTAATGTTGTCTGTCTTCTGTGCTGTTCATGTAAGTTTGCTATGAAAATACACTAAACTAAAAAAAATTTCAAAAACTAAGAAAATGACCTACTTAATCATAGGGACAAGTCTGGAGTTGAATATTATATCCCAGAATTCAATAGGGAAGACTGTACCACAACAGAAGATAAAGTACATTAGACTGAACTGGTGAAATAGCATTTTATGGCTTTTGACTAAAACATTGCTGATTCTCTTCTAGGCTTTTTTGTCTGGTTTTAAAGATTTTTGTCCTGTCTTGAGCTGTTGATAGGTTCATGTGCCTACTATTTGAACAGAATCCTAACCTATTTCCTGGCTTTAAGTTTTAAGCAAAGTTTCTTAGCATTTCTTTGATTTATTAAAGTTAAAACTGCTTTTATTGAAATTACCAGCTGAACTTGCTATCGAAAGTAGTTAGATTATGTAAGAAATTGTGTGATCAATAAAATGGGGGGAGAAATTATATATATATGGAACTAGAAATAGAAAATTGTTGGTGATAACATGCATGATTAAGCCACTATGCAATATATTCTGGATAGGAAAATCACATTTTGTATGATGTGATGATGCTTAGGGAATGAATGTAAATAATTAAAAAAAGTTTCAGAATAAAATGAAACAAGCAAACAAAATAATAAACAAGGAAGAAAATACATTTTAACAGATTACTGAAACTATCAACATCTCAAAAGAAAGCAAAATCCTTGAATTGGGAAAACAAAGCATAGTAAAGAAAAAAATCAGTAGTTTTTTACTACAAAGTTATAAAATTATATTTCACCAGTTTGGTCTTATGTAATTAATCTCTCTTCTGTTGAATTTGCAGTGTTACTGTGGTCCAATCTTTCTGTTTAAATCCTGAAGTTAACATTCATATCCCTAGCATTAAATTGGTCATTTTCTTGGTTGCCTTTTATTCTCTTATTTTGGTACGTACCTTTAGTTTTCCTGATAAAGTACTCCTTTCAGAACTTCTTGAAGTGCTGGTCTGGTGTTGGGAAAGTCTTTCAGGTTTGTTTATCTGATATTGTTTTTGTCTTTTCTTCCCATATGAAGGATAATCTTGCTGGGTATCATATTCTTGGTTGAAACTGTTTTTCACTTAACATTTTGAATATATTTCCCCATTCTTTCCTTGCTCACATTGTTTTTGATGAGAAGTCCGATGTTAGCTTGATGAGATAACCTCGATAAGTAACCTGACATTTCTCTCTTGCCAGTTTTAGTGTCTCATCTTTGTGAATTTTGCCAATCTGGCTAAGACGTGCCTTGGACAGGATCTTCTTGGGTTGTTTCTATTAGGGGTCCTTTGTATTTCTTGGGTCTGGATATTTGAATGCCTCTCTAGATTTGCAAAGTTTTCTTCTAGGATTTCATGGAATAGATTAGCAATGCCCTTATCAGTTTCGTTACCTTCTGGGATACCAATTATTTAAATGTTTGGGTGCCCAATAGTATCTAGTATTTCTCATATAGTTCTCTCTCACTTTTTTTTTTTTTTTTTTTGGTTGTTTTTTCCTGGTAAGAGGTTTTTGCCTTCAATATCCAAGATTTGATCTTCTACATGGACTAATCTGCTTTTAATACTTTCAAAAGAGGTATTGATTTCCTATATTGCAGCCTCCATCTCTAAAAGCTCTATTTGAATCCTTTTTATGGTGTGTATTTCCTTTCTGAAATTGTGCAAGAACTTTCTCAGCTCCTGGAACTCGTCTCTTTTCTCCTGCATCTTCTGGAGTTCATTGTCTTTCCCCTCTTGTCCTTATGAATATTCTGAATTTTCTATCAAATATTTCCACAAGTTCCACTGTACTGTCTGTGGATGATAAGGGATTGTTATTTTCTCTTAGGGAAGAGATATATTCTTGGTTTTTCATGTTTCTTGTGCCTCTGCAGTGGTTTCTGGTCATTCTGTGACAAAATATCTACTCTACTGTGTTTGGCAACATGGTATCCACAGAAACAGATTATGAGTTCAGATTTGTAAAAAGAATTTTGTTCCTTAAAGCAGGAGGATCACTAAGTGTTGTAGATTTCAATGAACCAAAAAGTATCAGATGGTTGGCTACTGTGCATGTAGGCCCATCTAGACACAATGTGTGTGGAGACTTGTCTGAGTGTTTCAGGAATCTAGAAGATGGAGTTTAGAGCATAGCTTCCTTGAACATGCCAGGACATACCTCAAATTTAAAATGGTTTCTAGTCTGAGTGTTTCGGGAGTCTAGAAGGTAGAGTTTAGAGCATAGCTTTACTGAACATGCCAGGACATACCTCAGATTTATTTATTTATTTTTATTTATTTATTTTTTAAAGAATTATTTTATTCAATTTTATTCATTCATTCATTTATTTAATTTGACCAGAGAGAGACACACAGAGAGAAAAAGGAAAGCGAGAAAGCAAGCCACCATGTCCAGGACTTGCACCATGGTCGGCCATGTGGGAGTGTCTAGTGCCTTAACCACCACACCACCTGCCGGTCCCCACACCTCAAATTTAAAATGGCTTCTTCTCTGAGTGTTTCAGGAATCCTGAAATTGGAGTTTAGAGCATAGCTTCCTTGAACACACCAGGACACATCTCACATTTAAAATGGCTTCTCATCTGAGTGTTTGGGGAGTCTAGAAGATAGAGTTTAGACTCCATGAACACACCAGGACTCACCTCAGATTTAAAAAATCCTGAGTATTAAAAAAAAATCATTTATTTCTTCCATGAGAAAGAGAGAGAGAGAGAGAGAGAGAGAGAGAGAGAGAGAGGGAGAAGAAAGACAGACAAGCAGACAAGCACCCTCTTCAGGTTCTTCACACTGCAATCCATCCATTCCTAGCCTCAGCTGGTCACAGGCATGCATGCGCCTGGTGTGTTTAGGGAGCTCCTCTGATGGGAACTGAGGACCTTTCTAGTGTGGGTACCAGTTGCACAGCTACTGTGCCACTGCCTGGCTCCCTGAGTGTATTTTTTATGTATAGTTGTATTTATGAGACCGTGTGAATATTTTATACATTAAAAAAATTAAATAAAGGAAAAAAATTGTAAAATTGTAAACAAATTAAATGGGTGCACCTTTGCATCAAATTTGTAACAATCACACTGAGAAAACAAATAATTTTAAATGACTTTAGAATTAATTCTTGAAATCTACTGCAAAGAAATACCTTTATTTAGTGGGTTTACTATAGGTATTATTATTATTATTAGTATTGTTATTCTGGAACTATAGAAGGAAAAAGCAAATACATAAATATGTTAATGTCAGAAACCAATATTTTCAGCATAAGAGAGAAGAAATAAAATATGATTAAAGGCAATAATCTTACAATGTTAAATCTGAATTGGTGCTATCAGTATAAACTCATGATTTAAATAGATACATTTTATACCTCTGACCACTAAAAAAGTCATAAAGCAAAGATAATCTAGGAGCAGAGTACCCCTAGTTGTCAGATTTTGGTTTATAAATTCCATTCTACACCAAAAAGAACAGGATATCTAGGAGAGATAGGTTGATTGCAGGTTGGTGGCAGAGACTATGCAAGATAAGCCTGAGATAACTTGTTTTGCAGAAAACCACTGAGCACTCAAAGATATGGAGTGGCCAGGTGGTGGTATAGCAGTAACACAATGGGACCCACTGAGAAAGGTCCTGGGTTTGCCTCTAGGGACCTTGTTGTATACCCTGAACCTGCCTGTGTGCCAGTGATTCAGGCTGAGGATGGGAGTGAACTCTGGCATACAGACCCTGTTGGGGGTGTCTGTCTCTCTATCCCTGTCTGTTTGTCTCTCTTTCATGGAAAAAAAAAAAAACTAAAGAAAAGACTAATGAGGTCATGTCAAAAGTACATAGAGGTCAACCTGACTAAGCTATCTTGGCCAAAGTTGGAGCAATTAAGGATGAAAAGGAAAAATGACTATAAATGATTAAAGCATATTAAACATATAAATGTCAGCAAATCTCTAGTTACACTAAGAAAAATAAAAAATAAAGCCCAATCTTGCTTATTCACACTGGGGGTGACTGTCACAGTAATAGCTTACTCTGGGTGTTGGTACCAGAA